AATATCCACAAGGCAGTGAACAAGAGAAAAGAGGAGCACGAAAAGGTGAACAAAAGACAGATTTATAACGCATTGTCAGAGGACGGCCTTATAGTACACTTTTCAAGATGATGGGGAGAAGGGTTACTATGTGCAGTATGTGGATGACCGTAACGTGCTTACACGCTTGTTCCTAGCCCACCCTGAGTCATTATTGATGTTGCGGGCTTGGAACCATGTCATCGTGATAGATGAACATACAAGACCAACAAGTATGAGTTTCCATGGGTTAAGGTTGTTGGCATGACACCGGTGGGATTGAACGTTGCCATTGCATCTGCGCTAGTGTACGATGAGACAAAAGAGTCGTACCAGTGGAAATCCACTACGCGAAACCTATCTCACTTCGAGTATGTGGAGAGGAGACGAGGGAGGAGAAGTTCGATACCTCCGACCACAACACCGGACAATGATAAGAGAACAAGTAGGTTGTACTTTTTGGGAAATTTATGTTCAATTGTGTAGAATATGATGTTATTAACTTATTTTTGTAAATGATATTAGGTGGTATCCCTGATGGCAAGCTTACCTTCTCTGGCGAGGACGTACGGCAGGCGACTGGAGGCGTGGCGGGAGGAGGGGCTGACGGCGACGACAAGTGGAGGCTCGAGTGGAGGCGCGGCGGACGTTGACTGCCTGCGCGGTTCGCGACAATGAGTGCGGACTGACGGCATGGCTGACGGGGACTGGAGGTGTGGCCGGAGTGGCGGCGTGGAGCAGCGGGTCGAACGCCGGCGTGGCGGCGGGTCGAAGGCCGACGTGGTGGGAGGAGGGGCTGAAGGTGACGGCGAGTGGAGGCTCGAGTGGAGTCGCGGCGGACGTCGACTGCTGGCGCGGTTGGCGACAACGAGTGCGGACTGACGGCGCGGCTGACGGGGACTGGAGGCGTGGCGGCGTGTCTTCTGTGCGGCGATGTCTCTGCTGCTTGCGTGGCGTGGGTTTGGAAAAAAATGTCGGGGAGAGGAAGTGGGAAGGGGGTTTGTGTTGTTTAGGGTTTGTTTTTAATTTTAAAAAGGGTAATTCAGTAATTTACGTATTAAGTTAGGACGACGGTTAGTAATTTTTAGGACGACCTTTAACCATTCAGTACTTCATTCATGTCCAAGTTTTCCCACAATATTCTTCACCACCTGGAACCAAGCAATGGATTTGAATGGCACCAAAGCAAGTAAACCAACAGAGAGCCCCAATAATCCAAAGCCCTTACCCCATCGTTCTCTCCAGGTATGGCATCCATAAGCTTCTCTACAGCAAACTCCCCTCCCAAAATGAGAAAAGGGATGGGCAACTAAACTAAACATTGTGAAGGAATTAAAAAAATGGCAAATCAGTTCACTACCAAATGTGAACACCCACCAACAACAATTGGAAGCTAGGAGGTAAGGAGAGCGGACCTGGTAGGAGGAGCGAGGAAGACAGTTAGTCGCCATTGTCTATCGCTGGCATTTCCGGATCGGCCAACTCCGGAAGAGCTTCTGATGGACGATCGTTTCGTCCATCGCGTAAATCGTAAGAACTAGAAAACTAAAGACACGAGATTAGGGTTTTTATTCTTCATTGACTGATTAAAACATAGAAACAAAGTACATATTTATAGTAGAACCAGAAAACCTAACCGCTTACCAATACTACAAGGATATGATAACTTAATCCTAAAAAAACTACCTTAAACACTTTAATAATTAAGACGATTCCTAAACAATTACTAAAACTAATAATAATATAATAATAATAATAATAATAATGATGATGATGATGATAATATAGCTGCCGATAATTGTAATGCATCAATCCTCCCCCTCGAAGAACTTCGTCCCCGAAGTTCAAGGGACATCTCAACCCAGATCGATGAAGAAGTTGAAGATAACTGATGATCGTTGATGTCGACCTCGTTTACGAAACTTCCAATTGCGTTCGGGCACCCGAGCGAACCCAACTTCACTAGATCGCACAACTTCTCTCTTTCCACGCATGAAACGAACTCCCTCACTCATTCCTTCAACCTTGTCTCGTATGAGTGGATGAGAGCACCTTCCCATGCAATTTTGGATTCCATGCCCTCCCTATACTCCCACGTTGCCTTTACTTCCAAGTTCCAAACTTGACATTTCCAGAAAATCAACCGCAACTCTTGGTAATATGCGGATGCCGAGATCATTCTCTTTTTCCGTTTGTCGTTTCCCAACATTGATCCCGAGCTCAAAACTTCTCCAAACATGGTTCGTGGCCCTGAAATTCTTCACGTTGGACAACAATGCACGTCACATAGCAGGTCTTTTCGCAACTGGACCCTGACTTCCTTGGCCGATCTCCTCTTCTGCTAGGTGTCGTCCCTCGTTACCTGCGATGATCGGAGTGATGGATGAGGATCGTGCAACGGTGGATGGTATAATGGCAGCTCGTACGAAAGCTGGGGAGACAAGAACCATGAGGATCGTGCAACGGTGTCGGACGTTGCTAGTTGTGGTGGCGTTGGAGCTAAAGCGAGCTCCTTGTTGACCGTCGGCTTACTTGTTAAGCCTTGTCCAGCAGTACACGTAATGGCGGACGTTACCTTCTCTGCCGTCGAAGAAGGCACCAGCCCCTTTGACGGTTGCCTCTCGTTCTTGGGCGTCGTACCCAAGGCTAGGGTCGTCAATTTGAGCGATGATGGTGTTGACGTCGTCCTTCGGTCAGGACCGGCGGTCAACGGCGATGATGGGAACCGATCCAGGAGCTCCGGTGAGTGATCCGGATCAGCAATGTACCATAGCATCAAAGCTATGTTATGTGAACTGAAGGAGGCCCTTAATCAATGGTGAACTTTGTGGCCGCGGATTTCGACGGCGCTTCATATGATGATGCTGGGCGTGGGGAAGACAGAGCTACGGTTAGCTCGCCGTCGTCCGCAGGTGATGATGATGGAGCAATGGTGTGCTCCTCGTTGGGTGCAATTGATGGCGAAGGTGCTGCGGTTAGCTCCTTCTCGTTGACGGTTGGAGGCTCCATCTTGGCGGAGTCAACGTCGGCGCGGTGGATGACGGTGACGATAGACGATGCTGTGGATGATGGAAAGGAAGCTTCAGTCAGCTCCTTGACTTCAGTGGTGGGCGTGATTGTAGTTGCGGCGGAGATCGTGAACGCCTCTGCTACGGCAGTCGAGGTTGCAATGGTGATTGGTGGTGGTGCGGACGATGATCGCCTACAAGTTACATTTAGCTCGGTGGCTGAGGTTCGCGATGAGAGAGCTACGATTAGCTCTTCGTCGGTGGCAGTTGATGATGGTGGAGCTACGATAAGCTCCTTCATCAACGGGGCCTCGGTCGGCGATCTGTCCCTCGTTAGAACCCCATCCCTAGCGGCTAGGGTTTCGTCATTATTGCCGACGGCGCTCGTGGACTCGGCAAAAGGTGGCTGCGTATCCACCTTGTCGTGGCGGTTCGTGATGGCGGCGGTTGTGGCTCGCGGGACCTCTTCCCGACGTTGGTGGTTGAATATCGGCGATGTCTGCCCTGGGAGCTGCGTAGAGTTCAGTTCCTTCGAACCGAGCTCTGATACCAATTGATGGACGATTGTTTCGTTCATCGCATAAATCATAAGAACTAGAAAACTAAAGACACAAGAATAGGGTTTTTTTATTCTTCATTGACTGATTAAAACGTAGAAACAAAGTACATATTTATAGTAGAACCAGAAAACCTAACCACTTACCAATCCTACAAGGATACGATAACTTAATCCTAAAGAAACTACCTTAAACACTTTAATAATTAAGACGATTCATAAACAATAACTACAACTAATAATAATAATGATGATAATATAGCTGCCGAGAATTGTAATGCATCAGCTTCCATGAGACGACTTGCTGGACAGGAGGAAAGATTAGCGTGCGTAGGTGGGAGACAGAATCGAATTGAGGAAAAAAGAAGCCAATCAGAAGAAGATTAAGATTGAGATGAGAGAGAATTGCTGGAAGTGAGAATTGCCTGATCAGAGAGAATCTGCGAGCGCCAAGGTAGATGGAATTGAGAGGGAGGAGCTCCAAGCATGATTGATCGGTGGAGGAACCGAGTAACGTAATCGGAGAAGCCTCAACAAGTGAAATATAAAACAAGAAGAAGAAAGTAGTTGAGCAGGAGAGGGAGGGCAAGCGGTAAGTTTATGGATTTTTAGCAAGGATGACGATGACATGTCAGATATCGAAAGGTTTGGGTTCATTTATTTTGACGGCCACGAAGGAAAATACACGTTTTCCTTGGCTTCCATCGAGTACGGCCAAACTCTTCGTCACTCAAATCTCGTTAGAGCACTCAGTCAGCCTACCCCATATGCACTCAAAATCACTAGTATGGAGAAAATCATATATATGGAAATATGGGGCGGGGCGGATACCTCAATACACATGCACCGTCCCATACTATTATGGATGGGGGCGGGTAAAACCTGCGCGGGTACAGGGCGGGTCGAGCCACTCTAACATGTTATTTAAAAAAAAACATACGCAAATTTTACTTTTTAAGATAAAACGAAGAGGATAACACTTTATTAATGAAAAAAAGTGATAATAGATTGGGTAATTGAGTCTAACCAATTGAAAGATGGACTCTAACTAGTTGAAGAAAAGTCAAAATAGCATAAATATGTATAATTATTGCAAGAAATATGTGGGCCACTGCGGGTCGGGTAATACCTGCCCCATCGCGGGTTCAAATTGCCATCACTAGATGGAAAGCTCTTAATTTGTGGATGAATAATTTCTAGATGAATGACAAATGAGGGAGAGGGTTGCTTATATAGGCATCCTCTCCATCAAGTACAATATATGTATGCCATCATTAATGGATGAAGCGAAATAGTGTCCCCAATACATGAATCATAATAAATATGGATCCATGTACAGTGATGCATCAATCTAAAGATACATGCATGTAACTACACCCTTTTATAGAATTCTAGAATCTTCTCGTGACATTTTCCCCCACCAAGTTCACGACATTCTCGCCGTGTCGCCTTCTTTGCATCGGCGTCATTGTTGGTGTGGTGACGATATGCTTCATGGTGAGACAAGGGTGGCCCTGGCTCATGCATAAATCTCATGGCCTCAAGATGTAACACCCTCTTTGTCGTGGTCTTCTTCCGTCAAGACTTCGAGCTTCCCACCCCCTCCATCTTGGTGCTTGCTTCTGCGGCCGCAACTTGCATTGCGAAGCAAGCCTTTAAAGCTCTGGCTTCCTTTCTCAATAGTGGCACCTTGCATAGCTTTTCTCCTTCGAAGATGAGCATCGAATTCTTGAAGGGAATCGGAAAAGCTTTCTTCTCCTACAAAAAGTCTATGTCGATGATGACTGGGTAATCCTCCTTCGACACCACATGAAAGTCCGCCTCTCACACCCAATCTCCAAGGGTGATCTGCACCTTGCGAGCGACTCCATGTGTTGGTGTGGGTTCCGAATTTACTGTCTTCAACCATCCTCTCTTCTTCTTGTACGAGATGCTAAGCCTTTGTGCTTCACCACATTATTGTATCATCTTGCTCTCATTGAAGTAGTCGTCAGGGTTTCTCCCACCATTGTTGTTGAATGCTTCTTGCTCCTCCGGCCTCTGATACTTTACAAGGAACTCGGTAATCGCCATTGTCGAGGCAAGGTCTTGTACACCTCGTCGTTGTTGCTCCAACCCCGCCCATGGTAGTAAGCCTACAAGAACACGAACAAGCCCTCCTGTCCGGATAATCGTGGATCTCAAGTAACAACTCCGAGAATTCTTTGACATACTCACGAATCCTGCCAGTGTGGGTGAGTTTTCATAGCTACGCCCGAGCCTCCATTTCTACATTCTCCGGATAAAATTGCTTCTTGATTTCCCTTCGAAAATCTTCCCACGTGTTCATCTCACACGTGCCTATGTCCATGTCTCCTTGGCGCCTTCTTTACCACACCATTGCCATATCGATCAAGTATAGTGAGGCGGTATGCACCATCAATTCATTGTCGTTGGTGCCCGAAGCCTTGAAATATTTCTCAAGACTCCAGAAGAAAATTTTCAATTCTCTCAGGTTCCTCGTCCCTTCAAAATTCTTCGGCTTTGGAACATCCATTATTGGGGTAGATTGTGTCGTGGCAGGTTTGGTAGCCACGACTAGCTTGACGAGATTGAGCTCTCCTTAAAGCTCGTAAAACTCCTATCTCACATTGGTCGTCTCTGCCCGAACGGTCTCCTTCAAAGAGTCGATGGCGTTGGTGATCATTGTTAGAAACTCATTTTGAAAATATTCCAACCCCACCTCCAACCGCGTCATTCGAGAAGCCACACCTTGCACGTCACCCTTCAAACATGGTGATGTGGTCAACAAAATTGGCCTCTACCTTCAAGACCCTCTCCTCGAGAGCATTCAAGGGATCACGAGTAGATTTGTCTCTCTAAGGAAGCTTGGTTGAGTCCTTCTTGGGCTCGTGTCCTCGTTGCTCTTCATTGACAACTTTGGATCCGGATCCATCTTGTCAAGGTTCTTTCTAGCTTGATGAGTCACGAACCCGACTCTAATACCACTTGTCAATGACCAACTCTTGGTTGTGCGACACTTAGCATTCAAGTCTCGTTAGAGCACTAAGTCACCTTAGCTCGCATGCACTCAAACTCACATTTGTGGAGAAAACTCTAGAGATGGAAAGCTCTGAATTTTTGGATGAATGAAAAACGAGGGAGAGGGTTTCTTATATTGGCGTCCTCTCCATCAAGTACAATGTATGTAGTCCATCATTAATGGATGAACCTTGATAGTCCCCCAATACATGAATCGCCCCCATACATGAATAATAATAAATATGGATGCATGTATAGTGATGCATGAATCTAAAGATACATGGATGTAACTACACCCTTCTAGAGAATTCTAAAATCTTCTCGTGACAGTACCCATCAGTATCACTAATTCATACCACATCCCAAGCCAAGCAAATATTTTCCCCTTTGTTTGGGCCAATTGCGAGATGTCCAATAGCCTGCACATCGCCGCTAATCCAACACAGCCCAACCCAGGATATCATACTTATAAGCTAGAGTTGCAGAAGTCATGATGAAGCTCAGATTGTATTGATGTTAGGAATAAGAAGAAGACGTTCCAAATTTTGAGTTTTGTCTATCACTTAGTTTGTCACGTATTGTAGTAATCGTTATTAGCCATTAGAGAGCAATGTGTACTTTTTCTAGTAGCCAATAATAATCCGACACATGTAAAACCTAATTGATAATTTATTTGAATAAATACAAAATCAATCAGAAGACTTAGCTGCTTCCTTTAATTTCTTATTTCCAAATTCTTAGCAATTTGTCATGGTAAGAGAGCTGTAGTGCTCCGTGATTCTTCCAACTGCAGCTGCCATGTCTAGCTCTTCTCGCAATCAGGAGCAGGACGTAGCGCAAGTTGAACTAGGGTACTTGTATCCTCAAGAGGAGGTTTCCAATTTGCCTCATTCAATCAACATATTTCATATAACTGAAACCATCACATTTGGTAGCTCTTACTATCTCAAACCATATGAGAATATGTATGTGTACTTATTATCTGAGTTGTTCGGTGAAACGAATTATACTATGTAGAAAATATATATGAAAGTTGTTCTAAAAAAAATTATAGTATTTAAGATTTATTGATGGATCTATATCCATGCCCCCTAAAGATTCATATCATTTTGGTGAGTGAATGGTGGTTGGATAGTCATGACAGTAGCTTTGATTGGAACCTAGCAACAAATTCAAATTTGAGGGTTCCAAGCAAGCTCATGTGATTATAATGTAATTTCATGCTTTGGAGACCATGGTGCAAGAGATGTCTCAAGTTGAAACGTGGTTATTGAACTTCTGGATGAATCCTTATGTAAATGTTTGGATAATGATTGAGGGTAGTTGTGCTAAGTTGGATTCTTAGGTACAGGTTGGTTGAATGATGCTAGGTTTTTTTTCTTTCCCAAGACCAAGTTTAATAAATTATTGAAAATGGGTTGTAACTTAGAATGCTTACCTGTGAGGAACCAATCGATTTGTGAGGGAGGGATGATTAGACGGCCTTAAGGAGTGGTAGCAGCTCGAAGGATGTGGACCAGCCGCCCATGCAGCCCATGCAGGCCGTACAGCCAAGGACGTCGAGACGGGTCATTAAGCCCAACCCTCGTTACCTTTCATAGTAGTAGGGTTTCTTTGGTTATCCTGATTACGTTCGGATTGTTAGTTCCTATTTAAGCACTCGTTATGTAATGCAAGAGGCAATCAATAATAAACCTAAAATAGTCTTTCGACACTTTACGTCGTTCTCTCGCTTGTGAGCTACAAGCAACCCTAACCGATAGCACAAGTTGCTATCAATTGGTATCAGAGCATGTCTTTCGATCTCACCACGTGCTGTGAGGCAGCGCAACGCACCACCGAGGCGTGTTACGCGCTGGGCGAGCGGATGGGTGCTTTGGAGCGACTGATCGCGGGGTTCTCCCCCTCTACTGAACGCGCCGCCGTCACTGGTGGGCAGGGGAGCGACGACGCCGCCGCAGAAGTCGACACCAACGACCCTCAGGAGACCCTTTTGGCGGAGATATCTCTCGCCGCCGTGACCGGGCTCTCGGGACCCCAAACCCTACGGTTCCAGGCTCAGGTCGAGGGAGTCGATGCTGTCGTATTGGTCGACAGTGGCTCGACCCACAATTTCGTGACGGAGAAGAAGGCTGAAGAGATGCGGCTGCCCCTCGAGCCGATCACACCTTTTGTCGTGAAGGTGGCCAACGGCAAACCCTTGATTTGCCGCAGCAAGTGTGACGATGTCACCCTCCTGGTGCAGGGTTCGACAATTACTGTATCATTGTTTATCCTACCGATTCGCGGATTGGACATGGTGTTGGGGGTTCAGTGGTTAGAAGACTTGGGGCCGGTTACGTGCGATTGGAAGACCCTGTGTATGAAATTCAAATGGCGCGACAAGGATTATTGCCTCCAAGGCATCGCAGCGGGGCTCAAGCAGGTCTCGTTCGATGCAATTAGCGCCGAGGACGGGACAGCATGGGCACTACTATTTCCTCTCCAGGATGACGATTTGGCGCCACTTGTTCCCGGCATGCGCGAGCTTATTGCCGAATACGGCTCGGTCTTTGCGACTCCCAACGAATTACCGCCCCGACGTGAGGTTGATCATCGTATTCCGTTGAGAGAAGGAGCCGCCGCAGTGAATGTTCGGCCGTATCGATACGCGCACCATCAGAAGGCTGAGATTGAGCGCCAGGTACAGGAGATGCTGGCTTCAGGACTTATTCGGCCGAGTTCGAGCCCGTTTTCGTCCCCGGTGCTGCTCGTCAAGAAGAAGGACGGCACGTGGAGATTCTGTACTGACTACCGGGCCTTGAACTCGGCCACCATACGAGATCGATATCCAATACCCACGGTGGACGATATGCTCGATGAGCTCTATGGAGCGAAATACTTCACTCGGCTGGATTTGCGTGCGGGCTACCACCAAATTCAAATGGATGAGGCTGATGTGCATAAGACGGCGTTTCGAACGCACAACGGGCACTACGAGTACTTGGTGATGCCCTTCGGGCTCTGCAATGCGCCCTCCACGTTTCAGGCCGCCATGAATGATCTTTTTCGTCTCGTTTTGCGCAAGCATGTGCTGGTCTTTTTTGACGACATCCTGATCTATAGCAGGACTTGGGATGACCATTTGGAGCACGTCAAGACGACTCTCGCACTGCTGCGGCAGCACCATTATTATGTCAAGTTCTCCAAATGTGCATTTGGGCTGCAGGAACTCGAATATTTGGGACACCTCATCTCCGACCGAGGGGTCCGCGTCGATCCGAAGAAAGTGCAGGCAATGACTGAGTGGCCTATACCGAAAAATGTGACGGCACTTCGCGGGTTCCTAGGCTTGACGGGCTATTATCGCAAGTTCGTTAAGAACTATGGGGAGATAGCGAGGCCGCTCACTGATCTCCTACGGAAGGGCGGTTTCCGATGGACCCCGGCGGCGGATCATGCCTTCTCGGCCTTGAAGGAAGCCCTCGTGTCCACTCCGACGTTGGCTATGCCAAATTTCGACCTCCCCTTCGTCATTGAGGCCGACGCGTCGGGCAAGGGGGTTGGCGCGGTGTTGTCCCAGCAAGGTCACCCTATTGCCTATATGAGCAAAACATTGGGGCCAGCAAAGGAAGCATGGTCCACGTATCGTAAGGAAATGTACGCCATCACTCAAGCAGTTCAGCAGTGGCGGCCCTACCTTCTCGGCCAAAAGTTTCATATATACACGGATCAGCGCAGCCTGAAATATCTTCTGGATCAACGAGTAGCCACTCCGGATCAACACAAATGGGTGAGTAAACTACTGGGTTTCGATTATGAGCTGCATTACAGGACGGGCGCAAGTAACCGGGCCGCCGATGCGCTCTCTCGGATGGGTGAGGGTGAGCAATTGCACGCCATGACCAGCCCCATCGCAACGGTATGGGATGAAGTACGCGCCGCCATTCACTCCAACCCTTACCTTCAGGCGGTCAAGGCCAAGGCACTATCCGAGACCCCCGGTCACTACGCCTTCCGCGCCGGACTGGTGTACTACCGCGATCGAGTTGTGCTTCCTCCACTCTCGAGCCTCGTCACCACCATACTGCAAGAATTCCACGACTCACCTATGGGAGGCCACTCCGGGGCTCAGCGTACTTTAGCGCGTGTTGCGCGCCATTTCTATTGGCCCCAAATGGGCAAGGCAGTTCGCGATTACATCGCCTCTTGTGACGTTTGCCAGCGCGTCAAGACAGAGACGCTATCTCCAGCCGGGCTTCTTCAGCCATTACCGATTCCATGCCAGGTATGGGAGGATATTTCCATGGATTTTGTCGAGGGCTTACCCATTTCAGGTGGACGTTCCGTGCTATTTGTAGTGGTGGACAGGTTGACCAAGTATGCACATTTCATGACCCTCAGCCACCCCTATTCGGCTCGGAGTGTTGTAGAAGAATTCATTAACGAGGTAGTGCGTCATCACGGCTTGCCGACTTCCATTGTCTGTGATCGAGATGCCATTTTCGTGAGTAAATTTTGGAAGGAATTCTTTTCCCGGACAGGCACTCGCATCAATATGAGCTCTGCGTATCATCCGCAATCTGATGGTCAAACGGAAGTGGTCAACCGCTGCGTGGAGCAGTACCTCCGCTGCTTTTCTCACTCTCAGCCGCATCGTTGGGGTATGTTCTTGCCGTGGGCGGAACTTTGGTATAATACACCCTATCACAAGTCAATTGGGATGACTCCATTTAAGGCTCTATATGGCCGTGATCCGCCGAGTGTCATTCCCTATGCGCGAGGTAGTAGCGGAGTCGGTGCGGTGGACCAGCTTCTGGGGGAGCGAGACGCGATTCTCCGGCAACTAAAGACCACCCTGGCAGCGGCTAATGAATACAACAAACAACTGGCGGATAAGCGGCGCCGCGCGGTGGAGTTTGCCGTTGATGATTGGGTTCTACTTCGCCTTCAGCCGTACCGACAGCATTCCTTGTTCCGGCGTGCTTCCCAGAAGTTGGCCGCCCGTTATTTTGGGGCTTACCAGGTGGTCGAGCGGGTGGGGGCTGTCGCATATCGCATCGGGTTGCCTGTGGGTGCTCGACTGCATCCGGTTTTCCATGTGTCGTTATTAAAGGCTTACCGCGGCAACCCTCCTGCCGATCCTCCGGGTGCACCCCCAGTTAGCGAGGAAGGGGAGCTAGAGATCACTCCAGCAGCTATTCTGGACCATCGTTGGCGACGACAAGGGGGCAAGGTGGTGGAAGAATGCCTGGTGCATTGGCACAACCTCCACGCCGATGATGCTACTTGGGAATTGACGACTGACTTGTTGGAGCGTTTCCCGAGCTTTGACCTTGAGGACAAGGTCCGTTTTTCGGAGGGGAGCAATGGTAGCAGCTCGAAGGATGTGGACCAGCCGCCCATGCAGCCCATGCAGGCCGTACAGCCAAGGACGTCGAGACGGGTCATTAAGCCCAACCCTCGTTACCTTTCATAGTAGTAGGGTTTCTTTGGTTATCCTGATTACGTTCGGATTGTTAGTTCCTATTTAAGCACTCGTTATGTAATGCAAGAGGCAATCAATAATAAACCTAAAATAGTCTTTCGACACTTTGCGTCGTTCTCTCGCTTGTGAGCTACAAGCAACCCTAACCGATAGCACAAGTTAGCACAAGTTGCTATCAAGGAGGCTCTTATCCGGCTGAATAGAGGCAATGTAATACAATCCTCTCCAGATTAGTAGTATGCACGAGACCTTAAGGAGGTCCTCACCCGAACAAATAAGGGCACCACCAAAATGTTTTTGAAGTTGCTACAACCGCAAACAAGCATTAAAATGGAATAAAAATTGTTGGGAAAGTGTGAAAAAGAATTGCAAAGAGAGATTGATCCTCGTAGCTACACCAAGAACCTAAGTTTGCGCCTTGCGCCTATATTGCTTCCCTTGAGAACATTTTGTTATGAATTTGTCAAGCGAGTCAAACATGGTTATAGACGTTTCATACGTCTCTAGAATATTGTGTTTCACTTTTGACGACTCAATCAAGTGGAAAGGTTTATGGGTTCCAAGTTGCACGTTTGAATCATATGCTTTCTTGGGGACAAATAAATGGCTAAGTGTGTGTGTTGGGGGATGTGCTAACACCTAAAAGGTGTGATATTGGTCTTCCAATATAGGTTTATTTTACGGATTTTTAGCTGAATTGATCCTTAATTCTTAAATTTTAGTCTAGGAATGTTTCGTATTGTAAATGGACATGTTTAGGCTTGTAATGTGAGAGTTTTAGGTGAATTGGAGCTTGTTTTGGGCAAAATTATAGGGAGGGTAAAAAAAAGGAAGTTCACGATCTCCAACAAAAAAATCCCGGCCGAGACCCTCAGGTTGTGATCTGATTTCATGGCCATTGCATATGTTCACGATCGTGACCTTTGAGATCAGGTAGTGAAGTCCACCAACAAGAGAGACAGAAGGAGCTTCAAGTTTAGCGATAAGCCTGACAGGAACTTGAATGGGGCCACTAGAAAATATCATGGTCGTGAACTCTAGACCATTATCTTTGAAGACGTTGAGGGCATGACGACACCACTTAAAATTTCATATGATTTTCTTCAAGTTTACGGTCGTGACTGTCACAAATTTCGCGAGTGAACTAGGTCGAACCCATGTGTCTATAAATAGTGGGTCAATTTTCAAAGGAAAACAAATTAATTTTCAAATTCCCACACCCAATAGGGGAGAGAAAGATCTTAACATTTCTTTGGAAGAGATGATAAGCTAGGAGAAAAAGAGTAATATAAATAATTGGAGGTTAGAGCCGAATTCTTGCAGAATATCAAGACTTCTAGGATGTTGATCTCTTTTACCTATTTCTTGTGTTCTTCTTCCCCCATTTATGGGAAAACATTTTTATATTGAGGTAAGAAATCTCTAACCTAGATATAGGGTTTTGTATATGTAATGGATGTATTGTCGAGATTATAGTTTATCGTGTCTACTTGGTAGTGTTCATTGCTTATTCATATATCAATTGCATATGGATGATTTAGAGACTTGACCTAAGTAGGTGACCACCCACTTAGGTCAAGTTTGGACTAAAATCAAGTAAACCATTAGGTGATTGCATGACTATTGATTTCGCTAATTGTGTGGTAGTGGTTTATCCCAATTAAAAGAATGAAGCATATCCCTAGCTATTATGGTAAGGTTTTTTTTTCCAAGTAATGTCAAGACAATAGTTAGAAAGAACCACTACCCACAATCCCTTCCTATCCCGTTAACAAATTACTTTACAAATCAAAAGAAGCTAACTCTAACCGAGACAGCAACAGGGCTTTATGTGCCACTCTATGAGCAGCCCAGTTGGCAGTCCGCGGAACTGCACTAAAATCTATACAATGAGAACAGAGTCAAGAAACAAATGACAATCTCGAAGGATGACAACTTCTACATCGGCTTGAGGAAGACACAAGTCAAACTTCTATAAGCTGCACGAGAGACCGCATCCCTGGCTGCAAGGAGTTCTCCATCGAGTCATAGATCCACTGATGCTGGATACCCAAGGCCAGAAGCACATGTCCGTCCAAGCCCGAACAACAAGGCCGGACTAGCGCCAGAGTCTTGGACAACATCATCGAAAATGATCTTCAAATGGTCTTGAGGAGGACCTTCTCAGAGAGGACTAGCATACACAGGAGCATGAGGCAGGGCTGACAAGGTAGGTGACAAGGATGAGAGAACTTCACGGGACTGAAACGAGGATTGGTGGGCAAGAAAACGGACATGAGGTTGGGTATTTTTTAATACCACATTATTTATTGTTTTTCCTATTCTACACAAGAGGCATACTGCTTGGAGAATAAGGGTTTGGGACTGCTTAACTAGCATAACTTGTTGCCACCATAAATTAAAATTCACTATCAGGGCCGAAACAAGCATACCACTTAATCCCACAAAATACCATAACAAGATGACAAGGGGGCAATGAAAGAACAAATGTTCTATACTTTTGAGAAACTACAGCTAACATGACACCGACTTTAGACGGCTATATTTAGCTAACTAATAGCAATATTAAGTAGTAATAAGCCAGAAAAAGAATTCCCTTATAATTCTTTCCATCTCATAAATCAAGATTTAAAACAAACCATTAATGGTCTTAAAGAGTCATAAATAGATTGCTTTAGTGACTCGCTAATCACTTGTAACAGGCCATAAAAGATCCAATAACACTAAATAACTGATGTATTAAAAAGCCATATAGGAACTTATCAGTTTGAAACTCACGAATGTGGCCATTAAATTGTCCTTTACTTCTCAAATAATATTTTACTAACTCTTTCATACAACACATTTATAATACTATTTTTCACTAGTGAAGCGCAAGCAAGCTTTAATATAAAATTAACTTAGGCGTGAAATCTGGCAATCACGACGCAACGGCTTAAAGTATTAACCTTCCGGACTGGCAATTAATAGTTTAAAGGAATAACTCTGCCACCAAAATTAGATCCAACAATCCCGACATTATATAGGACAATTGAATGGGAATTTTAAATTGGAAAGCTCGGCCGTAGTTATAGCACGAGTTAAAGGCCATTAATTGTTACGTTTGTAACCACCAAGGAGCCCAACAAACGCCGCCTGAGCTAGCTCCGGCCACAACAACTCCATCACGGCAACTCCCGGAGAGTGATAACGCCAACACGGCGGGCTGACGGCGGCGGTGCTACCCACAACCAGTACTGATCACCAGTCACCGAAAAGCCAAGCTAAAAGAAGAAGAAGAAAAAAAGTGATAACCCAGAAAAACAATCACCGATCAGGCCATGAATAAACGAGGCAGAGCAGAATCTGGCCTAAAGCCGAAAGAGGATCCCAGCAAAATAGAACGCTGAAGAAGCAGAGTACCAACGCCTAAATCCAATCAAAGTAGACCAATATTTACTAAATCTAACTTAACCAGATGAGAGCACCTTGATCCCATGAAAATCACTACTCTCAGCTCACATGCAAGACAAAGAGCTAGCAAAATAACTCATCGCAAGACAAACCAAGCTCCATGGTACTCGAACCAAAAAGATATTGCCTACCCGATTGCCAATTGAGTTGGTGATTATAGCAAGGATGATAAATGAGGGCACGACAATTGATTCAATTCCCTCTTTTGGTATTTATGCACCTAAATTAATATAATTGAAACAATTGATGTCCATTATTTTGCATTTCCCATTGAGCTAGGTTAGGAGGATCAAAAATCAAAATCCCCAAAACTCTCTTTCCCTCTTAAGATAGTTTAACTTGATTCTTTGTTTGTTAGTTGATCAAGCACCATATTGGGAAACGGATAAGTGACAAATTTATGAATGTTTTTTTTTTGTTATACATATTGCTCTATGTTTGAGTTGCAAATTGAACAATGATTCTATTTTATAAGCCTTTTAGAATATAATTTTTTTTTTGGCTCATGGTAAAAAATTATGAAAATATGCACATTGTGAATTGAATTTTTTTTCCTCCTACTCACACACTTCTCTAACAATTCTAGATCAACCACTAACTTTTGGTATGCAATACAATGGCTGAGTATAAGATCAAACAAACTCATTCAATATTTGGTGGGGTTCATTCTCTAGTTTGGCTCAAAGTTTGGCTAAGTGACAGTTTTGGTCCAAATTTTCTAATATTACAGTTATGGCCAACTTTTGAAAATAGTGGACAAATTTAGCCTGAAATTGGGTCAAATTTTTCACCGTTAATGACTCAGCATACATTGCTGAGGTGGCTGCCGCATGAGTACCATGTCATTTATTTACATTAAAATAATCCTGAAATTTTGAAAAATAAAAACAAGAAATTAAAATTTAAAAATAAGGACATTTATCATGTCTCTCATCCTACGTACCTCCAATGCATCCCCTCAAATTCCCAATTCCCTTCAGTAAAAAAAATCCTCTATTCCTCATTAAACCCTCTCCAACCTTGACAAAATCGATGGACGTGAGATGAGATTAGGGTTTATTGTTATGGTTGGGGATGTAGAAAGAGAGGGTTATGGATATATAGAGTTGAAGTCTATTGGTGTTGATTTCTTCACCGATGGGTTGAAATGGCAACCTTTGATGAAGAAGGCGCGGCGCGATTGATGAGGTCATCAAGAGCAAGACCATTACATAAGAAGAAGGACCACTTACACGTTTAAGGGCCAAAAAGTTAAGAGATCATTTTTCAAATTATTTGAGTAATTACTACGATAGCATGGATGTGGATCTATTCAAAATGAGGCCCATGATGGTGTTGCAATACATGGAAGAAGGTGGGAAGATGGGCTTGGAGGACGGTGGCGACAATGGCATTAAGGATGAGCTTTTGAGAAGTCATTAGCCAAAAGGATTACCATTTCCTAAGCCTAGAAGGAAGGAAAACCTAGTCAAATACTTGTTAGAGAAGGAATTGTAATTTTTTGATTGAAGTGTTGCTTTTTTTGTTAGTTTTGGATTGGTGTTTTGTAGCCTATTTAAAGAGGTCGAATTTCATTGTATTGTCATTCAGATTTCAAGTTATCAATAATATAGTAGAGAAGGATTTGAGGGTTATGGAAGATGGATCGGAGGTTCATTTTGGGTGATAGTGAGTGACTAAGGGATTAAGAGGTTCATTCAGAATTCAAGTTGTCGTGGACGGAAGCAGAAGAGAAACTCCTAATTATCGTCGCTGAGGATTGGGAGGGACGGAAGATAAAAGTTTTTTGGTTGCTTGGAATTTTTTGTTTCTTATATTTTTAATTTTATTTAATTTTCAATTTGTTGTTTTTAATTTTTATATACAAATATAAATTACGTGGAGGACACAT